ATTTAACTAAATGCAAATTATCGTGATTGTTCATAAGAGAAACAAGTTCATTTTTGCGCTGAGTCAAAGCAGAAAGAGCAGCAACACTCTTGTTCCTTAGCAGACGTAATGTTCACTTTTGCCTTTCTCCATAAGAATTCTCTGTCGTACTGGACGTTGTGAAGTGTCCTTATTCTCTTCACCTCCCAGCATGTCCCAGTGTTCGTCCTCTTCTACAGGATTGGAAACGTCCGAGTAATCCTGCATGTCTCTTGTAGCCATGACTCTTTAACTTTTAAGAATACAGATGTCACTTTTCAACAATTTAACACCTGTTGTGCGATCAATTGCTTTACGGTTAAACGTTAAATACGTGTACTCTTAAGCAATTAACAGTTCAAAATAAACTTCAAACGTATCCCGGACTGTGACTGATAACCGTTTTGAACAGTCTAGGATGAGTGTGTATTGGCCTCCATTACGGTAAGACGTTCAATATTCTGCAATTTTACCAATAATTACACCCTACTGTCTGTATATTTTTTCTGAACTAATGTGGATGCAAGACGACAAAACTAACACTCGCATCAACAGGGTTTATTTTGTGACGTTAAACATAATACAGTTTATAGTCAGAGCCATGGCTTTAGGAACAATTGGTGACAAGTTGGTGACCAGTTGAAGCGCCGACAAGTTGATGAGGTTTAGAAAACTACAATAAACAATAGCTTTCTGTAAATTCAGAAACATTTACCAATTTTCCTAGTATTTAACACATTCGAAGTTACATCCAAATGAAGCAATAAATACGTTGACTACATTGAAATTATGCAAAATTACCAAGCACACATTTGCAAATATAATGTAACAATTTTGCACTAAATTAATATTTTGGCATATATACAATTTCAGGGTGTTCAGAAATAAACATAAAACCTAACAATGAAAGGGAAAGGTACTCACATGTGTCTTTACATAGTTCAAATATAGCAGGCAGTAAGGTGAGAACCTGGCAGCATGGAGGTCCAATACACACTGGTGAGCATGTGCTTCAAAATGCATGAGCTTTGAAGAGGTCGCGACATGACCTGTGAGCTTTGACATTGCACATGAAGGTTAAGGTCACGAGGTAGTGAAAAGTTACTGAGAACATGTAAACATTGTATACATGTATCTTAGCATTGATACATATTACGTGGAAATTGAACTTTAGAACATTGGTGAAATAATAAAGTGTCTTAATCATTGGACCACCATGGATAATAAGTTGAATGAATTGTAACAATTTTAACTTGTTTTCATGTCATTTCACTAACAGTTCATACTTTCAAACATTAGGAAAACTTGCATCTACAATTGTATCAACCCGGAACAACACATGAAATAACAAAGGAAGTAATAGTGACAATAAATTAAAATAATGTTTTCAAAACTAAACCAATCAGAGTTTGCTATGCGTCCCTCGACTATATAAATAGGTGCAGTTTGACTACCAAGCTACCTTACTCAAAATAACATCATAAACCCAGACCAAAGCGGCTTCACTCCTGGCCTCTCAACCTTAGATAACCTCGCCCGATTAGAGCAGGACATTAAGACAGGACAACTTAACAAACAATATACAACAAGCATTTTCTTAGACTTCTCCAAAGCATTCGACATGGTATGGCACAACGGGCTAATACAAAAACTAAAACAAATAGGACTAAAAGGTCAAATATTAAACTACATCCAGGACTTTCTAAACGATCGTAAAATAACCGTGGGTATAGACCATACGCTATCGGACCAATGTCCCCTAGAACATGGGACTCCCCGGGGCAGCATCCTCAGCACCATACTTTTCAATATAATAATAAATGATCTATTCGAGGGCCTATCCCCTAAAATAAATACATCTAAATTCGCGGATGATGGAGCCCCCTGGATCCGCACTAAAAGCATCAAAATGTCCCAAAATCTACTTCAAAAATCCCTAAACAAAATACAGCAATGGGCTGACAAATGGGGCATCTCCCTAAACTCGGAAAAAACTACAGGAATGGTATTCAAACACAAAAACATGAAACGCGCTACCCCAGATCTTCAGCTAAACAACAAACCAATCAAATTCCAAAAACAAACCAAATTCCTAGGTCTGATTTTCGATGAACATCTCTCATGGGATGCTCACGTAAAACACCTCACAACCAAATGCAGCAAAGACTTAAACACGCTAAAATGTCTAATTGGCTCAAACTGGGGGGCCTCCAAAGATACCCTCCTCTCACTCTTTCACTGATTAGATCTAAACTAGATTACGGCTGTGCCATCTACGACACCTTAAACAAATTTCTCACCCCAAAACTAGACTCAATACAATATCAGGCTCTTAGACTGGTCACACGAACCCAATATGGCACCTCTCTTACTTCACTCCATGCCCTAACAGGAGAAATGGCACTAAATCTACGCAGGGAACACCTAACCTTAAACTTCTGGGCCGCGTCCTAATCAAACCCCTCATTCAAAACCTAATAAACCAAAACATCCGGCCCCAAAACAAAGCCCTACCTAGGACACCCTCTACTTACCCCAATATCCCAAAGAATAATCAACTACCTAAATGAACACAGAATAAACAATCTAAAGCAAAACTGCAAACAATCAAATATCTCCCCAAACTTCAAAACTCCCAAAATAGACATATCACTAGCCAAGACAATAAATAAACAAACCCAAACATAGCTAAAACCACCACACTAGCATACATACACGAAAATTGGCCAAATTGGTGTCACATCTACACAGACGGATCCTCCGATCCGATCTCCAACCACACAGGCTTCGGAGTCCACGTCGCACAACCAACTAAAACCACACAATCTTTTCGACTCCCAAAGAATCAATCAATCTTTACAGCAGAGCTAATTGGCATGGCCTCAGCCCTCCATAACCAACGATCTAAAAAACACCAAAAGATACTAATTCTTGCAGACTCCCTCAGTGGATTACAGGCCCTCGAAAATAAAAACACCAAAAATCGCCCCAAACTAATAAATGAAAATATTAAAAAGCGGAAACGACTTAACTAAGGCAGGCAAACAAATAGTATTCATTTGGATCCCCGCCAACGTAGGAATATACGGCAGTGAAAAAGTTGATAAAGCAGCTAAACTATCCCTAAAATCCCACAAATAAGCTTAAACCTACCTATCTCCAAATCAGAAATTTAAAGTGTCAACAAACAAAAAATCACCAAAAAATGGGATAACCTATATCTAAACTCAAATAGCCAAATCAAAAAGGTTCTCAAAAAAAACCTAACCAAACCAAAATTTCTACATCCGTCCAAAAACATCGACATCGTAATCACTAAACTCCAAACAGGACATACCAACCTAAATAACCACCTCAAAATAATAATAAAACACGCAACAGGAACCTGCCCACATTGCAAACCGCAAGAAACCCCAGAACACGCACTCATACACTGCACCCACTACCTAACACACCGAACTACACTACAAACCACCCTAAATCTAAGTAAGGCTCTTACTCTAGAAGCAATCCTAAACCCACAAAATAAAATAAAAAAATTTAAAGCCTTAGGCGTATACTTAATCAAAACAGGACTGATAAATCGCATTTAAAACCCGAATAAACTACCAAAACCAAAACCAGACCACATAATCAAACTAAAAAACTTCCTTACTCAGCTCCCTTAGTTCGCCCCCCAAACCCTCTTGGCATTTTTTCCAAATCTCAAAATTTCGAAAAAATTCTATATAAGCAACCACTAAAACACTCCTACTGGATTGCCAAACAACTTTTACCCCTTTTCGGAAACACATTAAATGGCCTGGCCTGGCCCGTGTGCGAAATACGCTGCAGTCGGAAAGCGCACGTAAAATCTCCAATATAAGTAAGTAAGTAATTAAGACTACCAAGTCACACTGCACCTGAATAAATCTTGGAACGCTAGCAACTCTGATGTCATCATTTATTCTCAATTCTTCTATTCTATTTTAAGGTAAGACATTTTCATGCGTTGTTTCAATGGTTGTTTTCATTCATGTTGAATATTGTCTCAGATTGTTTTAATTGTTGTTTTCAAATATGTTGAATGTATTTCATGATTATTGTCTTAGATTCCTTGAACATTGTATATTTTCAACCACATGCGTTGGTTCATTCTTAAGTTATTGTTTAATGTATTTTGAATCTTCGATAACGATTAGGAATGTTTTCAATGCGCACTATGCCTCTATAGGTATCACTTATGTAGGTTGTAATCACTTATGTAGGTTGTAGTAATTTCGATCACCAAAATATGAAATCATTTATTCCTGATCAACATCTTGATAACCGTTTGATAAATAAGAAATTTAGTACAAGTATCAACAACGTCGTAAAGTAAAATATGTTATGTCGTCAATATGTGTAGATTAATTGCTAGCAGTAATGCTGGACTTAGTTAATAGTCAGTCAGCTTTGTTCTTGATAGGATATGAAATACCTGTAACTTGATGTTAATAGTTCAATGCACAATGCTCGTATGCGAGCTCTGCATAAAGTAGCTAAATAACGCTTGTATTAAAAGAACTACGGTAATGAGCGAAACTGCATTACCGTAATACATGTAAAAATACGTCTACCATTAATGTTGCATTATTTCAGCTGACATTGGCATTGTGAATCATATGTGTTGTCTTTGTTATTGTGCCGTTATTTAAAGTTCCATCCTGATCTATTTGTGTATAATGTAATGGTGATTATTTGCTATGTTATAAGATTGAAGCGAAATGCTTAATGATTTATATTCTGAGTAGTTATGTCATAAGAAACCACGACGTTATGACAATTTTTTGTAATGATATAATTTATGATTATTAGATATGATTATGTGATTAAATGTATTGAAATGTTTATTATAACACACTGCACCTGACTAAATCTTGGAACGCTAGCAACTCTGATTCTTCTATTCTATTTTAAGGGAAAATGACCGTGATGCAACACGTTCTCACAATGCTACTCACGTTCGGACGCAGTGGCCTGCTGTCACTGCCCACGTGGGGGAGATGAGGACAGCGCCACATCCGTGATTGCCTTGGTACATGACCTCCAGCATCCAAGGCCAGGTCCCGGGGGTGGCCGGGTGGCCCCCAACAATACGGCGAGAGGGGTTGCGGTGACCACACCTATCTGAAACAAAACAATTCTCCTTGAAAGCGTTGGATTCTTTACACTGTACACCGTCCTTAACTGTACACCTTACTTACCTGTACACCTTCTCACCTGTACACTCTCCTTACCTGTACAAATAACTTACCTGTACACCGTCCTTAACTGTACACCCTCCTTCCCTGTGCACCCTCCTTACCTGTACACCGTCCTTAACTGTACACCCTCCTTACCTGTGCACCCTCCTTACCTGTACACCGTCCTTAACTGTACACCTTCCTTACCTGCACACCCTCCTTACCTGTACACCTTCCTTACCTGTACAAATAACTTACCTGTACACCTTCTTATCTGTACACTCTCCTTACCTATACAAATAACTTACCTGTACAAATAATTTACCTGTACACCTTCTTAACTGTACACCCTCCTTACCTGGACACCTTCTTTACCTGCACGCCTTCTTACCTGTACACCGTCCTTAACTGTACACCTTCCTTACCTGCACACCCTCCTTACCTGCTCGCCTTCTTACCTTTACACCTTCCTTACTTGCACACCTTCCTTACCTGCACACATTTCTTGCCTAACCGTTGGTGATGGGTAATGGTTTACCTGTATTAACAGACTGTAGCGTGTCATTGATATTGTTGATGGTGCAACCATAGTTCATGAAGTAAAAGATATTCATCTTTCCGCACAGCGCCATGTGATTTATCGACTGGTATGGTCTTCTCCCGTCAACGTCACCTCCGCAAGCCTCGGTTTGATCTACATTCGGCTCCCATGACCCTTGGTCGCCAGCCGCCGTGTAGGCCTGGGAATTACGAAGCACGTATGTAGTCAGTGCATCAGCACAAACGTAGCGGAGTTTAGTACTTGTTGTTTTCTATGTTTAATTAATTAATTTTGTACATCCAGCGAAATCCCCCCATCTGATGAATAATTAATTCCGACGTGTTATTTCATGCCTATATTTCTAGGAAGCGCATCGCCAGTACTGTAATTGCGACATCCAGCTTGATGCAGATCAAATGACACTGTTTAGATTCATTGGCATACTATTATTCTTTATCATATAATGGGTAGGTTTCTCGGGATGATAAAGCCAACGGATTAAAACGATATCCTTTGGGGTCATATGCGGATAGAGATGCAAATATCAAAGGTCAAATAGGCACTACTTTCAGGGCCCATAAACAAACATGGCTTGTCATTTGGCGATCGAGTCAGAAATTAACTGTCGGGAATCTGGATAAACGACTGGGATAATTGCTTTGATTAACAAAAGAATAGTCTAATATACTGAAAATCAGGGTCCAACTATGACGTAGCTAAGGCATTTTACAAGTTTTGACAGCTTTGGAGATATAAATCGCGAAACAATTTTGCGAGGGCACTAGCCAAGCGGGATCAGTTTCCATATCAGTGCTTGTAGACCTCTGTGGCTTGGAACCTTTTCCACAAATTAAAACAGTTGGATTTGGCTGAAATATGTTCGAATTGTGACCTTGTTTCGTTTTGTCCCTGTGTGTACATCTGACTGAAGGTTATGACAGGACATGCCGACTGTCAACAACGTCTGAGCGTGGCCCTGGCGTCTCATACACTAGGGTTAGGGTAGCATCCCTTTGATAAAGTACATTTACTCTATCGGTCAGACCAATGGATTGCAAGGCAAGGCAAGTAAAAACAATTTGTGTGGGCAATTGTTGTTTTGCATATATGTACTTACATCACTGTATAAGAAACAGGTTTCAGTGACTAACACAACAGTTACAATCTGAAGTAATATATATTAATGCGCACATTCCAGGAAAACGTGCAATGTGAAGGTAATGTTTGTGAGAGATGGGAAGTGATTTTTGAGCAAAGAACTGAAGAATGACATTATATGATAAAGAGGTTTTCACTCTTGTGTGTTTGGTGCTGGTAATATTCTGTATTAGGAATAAACACTATGTATTCCTGATACAGAATATTTACCACCCAAAAAACACTCGCGTGATAGCCTCTATCTTCCTGTGGACATATTGTTTTCTTCTAATATCTATTCATTCTTATCAAATTACATAATTAATGAATTTTAAACTTTCTCACCTTAAACTCAAACCAGCCGTTGTATGTTTGCGAACAGTCCATGTCGATATCCACCATCCAGAAGTTGCTACCGAGCTTGTTAGTTGGCGTGTACCCGAAGCCGTCATCCCGTACCGTGGGCCCGCCCTGGACATGTCTGAAACATAGCCTCCAGCTTGCATACTGCGACACCTGACTCACTCACTCGCTGACATACTCACCGTCTCACAGACTTACAAACTTCATATTTCAGTAAGGTCACGTGGTATCAGCTTGATGTAGGAAGATATCACAGTATGTCAGTGACGTCACGATATTTTAGCTTGATGTAGTAAGATATCACAGTATTTCAGTAACGTCACGATATTTTAGCTTGATGTAGTAAGATGTCACAGTATTTCAAGGACGTCACGGTATATCAGCTTGATGTAGTAAGATATCACAGTATTTCAAGGACGTCACGGTATATCAGCTTGATGTAGTAAGATATCACAGTATTTCAGTAACGTCACGATATTTTAGCTTGATGTAGTAAGATATCACAGTATTTCAAGGACGTCACGGTATATCAGCTTGATGTAGTAAGATATCACAGTATTTCAAGGACGTCACGGTATATCAGCTTGATGTAGTAAGATATCACAGTATTTCAGTAACGTCACGATATTTTAGCTTGATGTAGTAAGATATCACAGTATTTCAAGGACGTCACGGTATATCAGCTTGATGTAGTAAGATATCACAGTATTTCAAGGACGTCACGGTATATCAGCTTGATGTAGTAAGATATCACAGTATTTCAGTGACGTAACGATATATGAGCTTGATGTAGTAAGATATCACAGTATTTCAGTAACGTCACGATATTTTAGCCTGATGTAGTAAGATATCACATTATTTAAGTGACGTAACGATATGTCAGCTTGATGTAGTAAGATATCACAGTATTTCAGTGACGTCACGCTATATCAGTTTGATGTCGGAAGATATCACAGTATTTCAGTGACGTCACGCTATATCAGCTTGATGTAGGAAGATATCACAGTATTTAAGTGACGTAACGAAATGTCAGCTTGATGTAGGAAGATATCACAGTATTTCAGCGACGTCACGGTATATCAGCTTGATGTAGGACGATATCAATGTATTTCATTGACGTTACGGTATATCAGCTTGATTTAGGAAGATATCACAGTATTTCAGTGACGTAACGATATATCAGCTTGAAGTAGGAAGATATCACAGTATTTCAGTGACGTCACGCTATATCAGCTTGATGTAGGAAGATATCACAGTATTTCAGTGACGTCACGCTATATCAGCTTGATGTAGTAAGATATCACAGTATTTCAGTGACGTCACGCTATATCAGCTTGGTGTAGGAAGATATCACAGTATTTCAGTGATGTAACGATATATCAGCTTGATGTAGGAAGATATCACAGTATTTCAGTGACGTCACGCTATATCAGCTTGATGTAGGAAGCTATCACAGTATTTCTGTGACGTCACTGTATGTTAGCTTGATGTAGGAAGATATCACAGTATTTCAGTGACGTAACGATATATCAGCTTGATGTAGGAAGATATCACAGTATTTCAGTGACGTCACGCTATATCAGCTTGGTGTAGGAAGATATCACAGTATTTCAGTGAAGTTACAATATATCAGCTTGATGTAGGAAGATATCACAGTATTTCAGTGACGTAACGGTATATCAGCTTGATGTAGGAAGATATCACAGTATTTAAGTGACGTCACGGTATGCCAGTGTGATGTAGGATATATCTCAGTATTTCAGTGACGTCACGGTATGCCAGTGTGATGTAGGATGATATCACAGTGTTTTTAGTGATGTAACGATATATCAGCTTGATGTAGGATATATCTCAGTATTTCAGTGACGTCACGGTATGCCAGTGTGATGTAGGAAGATATCACAGTGTTTCAGTGATGTAACGATATATCAGCTTGATGTAGGATATATCTCAGTATTTCAGTGACGTCACGGTATGCCAGTGTGATGCAGGATGATATCACAGTGTTTCAGTGACGTCACGGTATGCCAGTGTGATGTAGGATGATATCACAGTGTTTCAGTGACGTCTCGACTGTACAGACAAACCAAAAATGATCATCGGATCGAAACTAAGAACTAAAAAAATCCCATTACTTATTCGTGGTCCATATCATGGGTGTTCCATGGGGCTTGTTGCCGTGGAAGGAGTGCTGGCTTGTCTCCATGCCATGCCAGTCCAGGTGCCGGTCTCCTAGCGACCACGTGTAGTATGCCCCTGCATGCGCGTGTGTAGGCACTATCCGGTGTTTGATGGGGATGGGACAAGAGTCAGCCGAGCAGTTGCCTCTCCCTGGTGTGTTAGACAATGAATGTGACGTCATACCCACCCGAATTGTCTTGACAATGGCAAAACATATACGTGCAAAACGTTTACCTCTGCATATGTTTCTATGTTGTGTGACTGTTCATCGCAGTGATTTTAGTCCAGAAAATAAAACGAACATTAGAGAGGAGACAGTAGACGGGAACCATAATGTCAGGGCGGTTTGGGAAACGTTTACATATCTATGTGGCATTGTATAATGTTCCTAAACAGCTCAGCAGAGCTACTATATATGTCGGTTGGAACTGCCCCCACAATACTCACTATGGGATCTATATATGCGGTTCCATTTGTGGCATAGCTCGATTAGAACAATTGCACTGTATATTCTGGGTCTCGGTATTTATGTTATCTTGGAAATAGCAACCCTGGCTCTGTAGCCGCCTAATGACACCACACGGGTCAGGCGCGGATGAACACAACCTTCTTGGTGGTTTACCTCCTCGTATGAATACATTCTCCCCGAGATCTGTACTGGCGCGGATGAACACAACAGTGCGCTGGAAGTGAGACTGATGTGTCACGTGGACCCAGAGAACAATCAGTGTAAGACGACGGAGCGCCCATGAAACGGTTTCTGCCATGGCTGTGTTGAGGTAGTGTGGCACTCCTGCCGGGACCAGGTCTGGGTTATCTGGAGGTGGCACCTGTTCTCTCCCAGGTGTACACAAGGTGGAGCGCACCTTTCACACGTGATGAGTCCCAAGTAACGTAATAATCCTTGCTTGATGGCTAAAGCTGGTGCCTTGCTGTTACCCATTAGACACGAAACGCTTCTTCCACAAACAAATATAAAAATCAAATGTTGTGTCAACATATGAACTACTTAGAGGTGAAGGAAAATAATTTAAAAGTCGCGTTCAAGAATATTGCATCATCTGCGTGCGTGCGTGCGTGCGTGCGTGCGTGCGTGCGTGCGTGTGCTTGTATCCGTTATATTGTGATAGCCCACTCACAATCACAATCGCATCACCGATCCTGAAAACCAGAAGCACAAACAGAATATATACATACCAACGTGATGAAACACAAACAAAATATACATATACCCACATGATGAAACACAAACACAGCATACACATACACACGTGATGAAACACAACGACAATATACTTATACCCACTTGATAAAACACAAACACAACATACACATACACACGTGATGAAACACAACGACAATATACTTATACCCACGTGATGAAACACAAACACAACATACACATACACACGTGATGAAACACAACGACAATATACTTATACCCACGTGAAAAGACATAAACACAATATAAACATACCCATGTGATGAAACACGATATACACATACCCACGTGATGAAACACAACATATACATACACACTTTATGAAACACAAACACAACATACACATACCCACGTGATGAAACACAAACTCAAACACAACATACACATACCCACGTTAAGAAACACAAACACAACATACACATACCCACGTGATGAAACACAAACACAACATACACATACCCACGTGATTAAACACTAACACACTATACACATACAAAGGTGATGAAACATAAATACAATATACACATGCCCACGCGATGAAACACAACACAACATACACATACACACTTGATGAAACACAAACACAATATACATAAGCCAACGTGATGAAACAAAAACACAATATACATATACCAACGTGATCAAACACAACGACAATATATTTATACCAACGTGATGAAACACACACACGATATACACATACACACTCGATGAAACACTAAAACAATATACACATACCGACGTGATGAAACACAAACACAGTATACTCATACCCACTTGATGAAACACAACGACAATATACTTATACCCACGTGATGAAACACAAACACAACATACACATATATACACTTGATGAAACACAAACACAATATACATAAATCCACGTGATGAAATACAAACACAATATGCACATACCCACGGGATGAAACACAACCAGAATGTACATATACCCCGTGATGAAACACAATATACATATACACACGGGATGAAACACAAACACAATATACATGTACACACGGGATGAAACACAACCAGAATGTACATATACCCACGTGATGAAACACAATATACATATACACACGGGATGAAACACAAACACAATATACATATACCAACGTGATCAAACACAACCAGAATGTACATATACCCACGTGATGAAACACAATATACATATACACACGGGATGAAACAAACACAATATACATATACACACGGGATGAAACACAACCAGAATGTACATATACCCACGTGATGAAACACAATATACATATACACACGGGATGAAACACAAACACAATATACATATACACACGGGATGAAACACAACCAGAATGTACATATACCCTCGTGATGAAACACAATATACATATACACACGGGATGAAACACAAACACATTATACATATACACACGGGATGAAACACAACCAGAATGTACATATACCCACGTGATGAAACACAATATACATATACACACTTGATGAAACACAAACACAATATACATATACACACGGGATGAAACACAACCAGAATGTACATATACCCACGTGATGAAACACAAACTCAATATACAGCTATTAGCTATTAGCTATTAGCTACTTTATATGGGCCTAATTCTGATCTCCCAAAATTTTATCATGATATCTTTAATGCCATTGATGGACTTGATAATGAAGCGATTATAATTTGTGGGGATTGGAACCTCATTCTTGATCAATCTCTAGATCTGGAAAACTATAAAAATGTTAACAACCCAAATGCTAGAAAAACGGTTCTAGACTATTTATCTCAGTTTAACCTATATGATATTTGGCGTGAACAGAATGCAGCTGTTAGAAAATTTACATGGTGGAAACATAAACCCAGACAGCAAGCTAGGCTAGACTTTTTTCTGGTTAGTGAAGATATTTTAAACCTATCCTCTGCTGCTGACATTCTCCCAGGTTATAAATCTGACCATTCGGCTATTTCTTTATGCCTAAATGATTCTCTGATAAATAATAGGGGCCGTGGATATTTTAAATTTAACACTGCCCTTTTAAGAAATAAACATTATGTGGATATGGTTACGACTGTTTTAGATGAAACAAAACAACAATATGTGCATCCATCTTATAGATCAGACCATTCTGCTCCTTTTGATGATTTGGATTTAAAACTGAATATACCTGATTCCCTATTCTTGGAAACCTTTTTAATGAATTTGCGAGGTAAAACAATTTCTTTTTCCTCATATTTGAAAAAAGAAAAAAGGAAAGAAATTGGGCGATTTAGAAAAAGAAATAAACCAATATGAAAATAAAATTAGAGAGGATTTTCAAAATATTTCTGAAGAAGCTTTAAGTAAATTATCTGAATCAAAAAAGGATTATGAAAAAATTAAAGAAGAAGAAAACAAGATAAATGCTTTTAATAAGAGTTTACAATGGTATGAGGAGGGAGAGAAACCAAGTAAATACTTTTGTCGTCTTGAAAATAGAATTTTTTACAAATAATATCATCTCCTCTTTGATTAATAGTGAAGGTGAGGAACTGAATGATACAACTCTCATCATTAAAGAACAAGAATCATTTTATAGAAACTTGTACCAAAAAAATAGTTCAGTAGATACTGACCCAAGCCTGATGTTAAACAATATTCCAATTCCAAAACTAGAGATTGATATGCAACAGGCCTTTGAACAGCCGTTATCCTTAAACGAAATTGGTAAAGCTACACTTGCAATGAAAAATAATAAGAGCCCAGGTCTTGATGGCTTCCCAATTGACTTCTTTAAATTTTTCTGGAAAGATTTAAGAGTCTGGATATGGAGATACTTTAATCACGCTTACCACTCTAACTCTTTGACTTCTACTAAGAACTGGGATGTGATTACTTGCATTCCAAAAGCAAATAAAGATAGAAAAAGATTAAAAAAGTGGCGTCCTATTACTTTATTAAATGCTGTATATAAGATTTTAAGCTCTTGTATTACTAATAGAATCAAGCAATCTTTAAACAAATTAATTCATTGTAATCAATCAGGATTTATCCCTGGGAGATGTTTAAGTGAAAATACTAGATTACTTTACGATATCATATTTGAAACTAAGAGACTTGACAAAAAAGGTACGTTGACACTCATTGATTTTGAGAAAGCGTTCGACACCGTGAATAAAGATTTTATTTTCATCGTTCTGGAAAAATTTGGCTTTGGGCCAAATATGATTAAATGGATACATATACTCATATCTAATGCCTCTTCTTGTATTGTCCAAAATGGCTACCTCTCTAAATTTTTCATGAATGAAAGAGGTTGTAGACAGGGTGACCCAATTTCCCCCTATTTGTTTCTTTTCGTAGCTGAAATTCTCGGTATCATGATTCGTAATAATGAAGATATAAAAGGTATACTTCTACACGATATTGAACTCACATTGGGCCAATATGCTGACGACACCCAACTATTTTTAGATGGCTCGGAAAAATCATTAAAATCAGCCATGGATACACTTGAAACTTTTTACAAAATCTCAGGATTAAAAATGAACTTTGAAAAAACCAAAGCAATATGGATAGGCAGTATGGCTGGTAGTAAAGTCCGAATTTGTCCTAACTTAAAGCTAGATTGGCATGATGGCAACTTTGAAGTTTTAGGCATATGTTTTAATGTTGACTTAAAAGACCTTTGGGTAATCAACACTGAAAAACGCCTTGATAATATCTATGGTATTATAAGCAAATGGAAAAAACGTAATTTGACTTTGATGGGTAAAATAACAGTTGTTAAGACCTTAATTCTCTCTACCCTTGTACATATTTTTTCCGCTCTCCCAAATCCATCAAAAGCTTTTATTGATCAATTGAATAGAATTCTTTTTAACTTTATTTGGAGTGGCAAAAGAGATAAGATTAAGAGGGATTATTTGAAAAGGAATTATAGTCAAGGTAGATTGAAAATGACTGATATACCCAAATTTATAGCATCTTTAAAAATTTCATGTTTAAAAAGATATTGTGAAAAAAACATTAATTATGACCTTGCTAGTTTTCAGCTGGCTCATATCTACACTTTAGGTGCCAGTTTGCACAAGAATTGGGAAATTGTAAATCCGTTCTGGAAACATACCCTTATAGCCTGGAGTGACTTTATGCATTCATATGACTTTGAAGTCTTAGAAAAACCAGAAATTGCTTCCCAACCCATATGGTTAAACCATTATTTTAGAGAACCAGTATTAATTTTTAATGACTGGTTTAAAAAAGGTATAGTTACGATAAAAGACTTGTATGATGAAAACGGATGGATCCCTTTCCCACGTTTACAACAACTTTATGATCTTAAAGGAACTTTTCTCGATTATAACCGTATGATTTTTAATATTCCAAGAAGTTGGAGACAAAATATTGATAAAAATCTACATTCCTCTTCTAATCTCACAGTATCTCCTTGGATTTATGATCTTACACGTTCTATTAAAGGAACAAAAGTGTTTTATAATAAACTGATAGGGAATTCCCTCCCTCTCCCTCAATCTTGTTTGAAATGGGAAAATCAGCTGGGATGCTCTTTTCCATGGAATCAAATATTCAGTGTATATTGCCATGGGTTAAGGGACTCACAACTCAGGGATTTCC